TGCTGGCTTTCCCTGCCTCTGCTCCGTGCTTGCTCCTGGGAATTGGTGTTGTTTGGGGGGGACAGGGAGGGACAGCAATGGTGAAGGGGTGGGCAACCCCCATGGCCCTGCTGCCTGCACTGCTGGCAGAGCTCACTGCCCAGAATGTTTTGGATCCTTGCCCCTGAAAGCTTCTCCCAAACTCTGCACATGCACACTGAGTCACTGTTTGCCTGAAATCTTATGGCTGGTAGGTGTTTTCCTGAAATACACCCTTTTGCTTTAATACCTGCTAAATCTTACAGAAAGATGCAAACCATTTTGTAACATTTCTTTGTCTCAGAAAGTCTCAGGGATGTTGAACAAACTCTTCTGTGGCTTTTTATTCCTGTGTCCCAAGAGCAGACTGGGGTCCCTCCTGGTAAGCAGGTTTGGATATAAAATACTACTAGATCAACCTCCTCGAAAGAGGATGCTTTGATTTGTAAATCTGGAAAGAAAATGTTTATCTGGGCAGTATTAGATTAGTCACAGATTAATTACAATTGTCAAGTATTATTCATCTGTAATAAGAGGGAATTCTTCTCTCAAGATTCATAGCAAAATAACATTATTTTTCAAATAGAAGTAATTTAAATGGAAGTAAGACCTTCTAATACCACCATCTGTACAAGTAAATTACTTTCATAGTAATTAAATATGCATAGCTGGGCTGTGTACTGTACTGATGAAGCAAGTTTTATGGAAGCAATATGCTTAAAAATCCCTTAGGTATTAAAGATGAAGAACCCATGGCATTTTGCATTCATATAACCATGAATAAGAAAAAATATTTTTTCTGCTGCATAATTTTKGGGAATATATTTTTATTAACTTTTCCAGGTTAATTAATATTTTTGCCAAATAGCAAATACGATCATCATATTTATTAGTCTGACATTTCACAGGGACTTAAAGCTCTGTAAGAAGTTGCAGCATTGTATGTGTGTGAATTTATGATTGTGACACAGTCACTCATCTTCTGCAGATTCCCAGGAAGCAGAGCAGTGCAGTGAAACCGAAATCATTATGTTGACTGAATTCATTACTGCTGGACTCGTCCCTCCATGAAATAGCACTGCTCAGCCAATTGGGATTCATGGTCACAACCCTTCATGGGATCATCAGGGTTTATAGTCCATAACAAATACAAATACAGACAGGAACAATAACAGTCCGATACATCTGATCTATTACCCCACCTYGTGAGGCTCTGTCGCGAGTACCAGAACAGCGACAGGCCACGTGCTCTCTGTGGTGCAGATGGGTGGCACAGTTGGGTAGGAAGGAGAGGCCATGTCACAGAGCACAGCACTGACAGCATGGTCTTCAGTCACTGAAACCCTTCTTTGTGCTTGCAACACATTGTTCATGACTTGTGTAAAGCGCAGGTGTGTAGGGGGGCGTTGGACGTTTGCAGGAAGCGTCTGAACACTGCAGAAATGCTTGGCTAAAGAAATACCTGAAGTCAGTTCTGTGGAGCACTTGAGGAGAAGTCTGAAACCCCAGCAGGTCAGCCCTTTCAAAGGAGCAAATACAGCAATCTACATACTACCAAAATACAAGAGCAAATTCAAGCATAAAGACACACAGTYGGCACAGTCTCTGTGAGTCAGCTGCAGCAAGCTGCATGTGACTGATCCTTAGGTATTTTATGTGAAAGTAACATTGCTTATGAAACATGCAGAGGTTTCTTGTCATCAAGAGATTTAGTCTACCTGCAGCCCTTTCAGTTACCTCCTCTGATTAATTGCAGGAGGCTGGCAGCAAATGGAGGGCAATAGCTCAATTCTTTCTGCACCCCAAATGTAAAATAAGAAATGGTGGCCTGAAACACAGAAATGAAATGATSAGAGCTTCATTTCTCTACTCTAAGCCTTGTGCTAATACGTGTGAACCAGCATGTTGGGCCAACCCTTTGGGGCCTGTTTTTGTGTGTTTTAGATCATACTTTGTGATAGATGGAGGTGAATGTTTATGTAGCGAAGAGAAGAACCATTAGAAATGTGTGACAATTGACAACCAGGGAGGTATKGAAGTTTGAATGGTGCAATTTCTGACCTTGTGTAAGGCAGTAGTTTGGTGACAGGTTCAGCTGCATCCAGCCTAATCGTGCACATATATTATTCTGGAGGTAGCCTGCGTGAGTTATCTTAAATTCTCTTTGTGTCTTTTCACTTTGTTCTGTCCTGAACCCCAGTTCATWCCCAGTCTGCAAACCCCAGCATCTGCACATGCTCAGCTTCCAGTAGTTCAYTTTCTGGAGCTGCCACTGGAAGACTGAACACTTTTTTTAGCAGATTTTCTGTGAGGGTTGAGGTTCGAAAGAGAACAAAAGTGGGAATTTGGGTGTGGACGTGCTGGGTGAGTCCTTGATGAAGAGGCTTTGGCAGGCTCTGTCGGATGGCTTCCCTCAGGGCTGCAAATGAAACGCTTGTATAGCACTCCTGGAGAGACCTGATTTTCAGCTCAAGGTTTGACCTGTATAGACAATATATACATAATGCTTATTGMTTTTGGGCAGCAAATTGCCTTTGGGAATTTAGGAATTCGAGCAACAACACAGGGGCATGTGCAAAAGAAACTCTGCATAGTCAAAACAAAACAGCTGAAATGTGACTCGGTTCAGCTTCTGAGTGTTTGTGGCCACTTTACCATGTCTAAGTCCATGTTTTTGCTAGAACATACTTAGACTAGCATTATTAGCGTAATGTAGCACAATTCCCAATAATTTGAAATGGATCTTCCATGTGTTTGAAAATGCCTAGGTAGGATAAGGACACTAAAATCCTCTTTTCTTCCCGTGTAACAGTGTCTTGTGCTCAGGATGTCTTCAATCCTCACAGAGGCTGGAGCATTATTTTCCATACCCTTTTCCCCCCATTTAGCTTCTAGTTACTTAGAAAAAATTGAGAGAAGTTTTTTACTTGCCATGCTTTTAAAGCTTTAAAAGCTTTTTCTGAAAAGGTACCTATTTTCTTATCACTTTTTTTTTCTTTCTCTAGAAAAAGGCTTAATTTGAAGTTCTTTTTTGGCAGCTGTATTTCACTGTGATACATTATGTCAGGGCACATCAGTCACATGAAGATTTATAGAAAAAAACATACTCTTTTTAGATGTCCCTCTCTGCAGTCCTCTTCAAAACATGGTGTTTTTTTCAAGAAACGCAACGATCAACAGTGTTATGATTTTTGAAACATCGTGGGAGTAATGGCTTTATCTTGATGAATTATATAAATATTATTTAATAAAGGAATATASAATTTAATGTGGTGAACTTAGTAACTCTAAAAAAGAAATTGACCGTTTTCGCCTTTTACTGATGTTTACTTTTCAGTGTTGAGCAAGGGCTTTTCTTTGTAACCAAAATTATCCTATGCTGTTCCTTATTTTACCATTAAATGAGGTACATTCTGAATTCAGATGAAAATGAGGTACCTTGATGAAAGTGGGCTTCAGGTGTCACACACTAAGCATTGTACATTTCTCTTTGCTCTGATCCTCCAGCACACATAAGATTTCACCTCTTCACCTTTGAACAAGATTGCACTAACTTTGATCTTTTCAATTTTGTTCGACTCCAGGGAAGGAGCAGCTACTTGAAACATGTTATCATTTAGACTTTCAGAGGTTCTTTAAAAAAAAAAAAAAAAAAAAAAAAAGAAAAAAGAGGTAAAAGAAAAAAAAACTTGAAAGCATGAACTAAAAGCTGTAGATTTTTATCTTGAGCATCAGCTTTTGTAGCTAGTGCCTAATGATTTAATATCAAAAACAGTCCACATAGAACAAAACAAAAGATAGATTTTAAAAGCACACAGAATTATTAAATACCAATTTCATTTTAGGTAAGCATTTTTCTGCAGTAGTGATGTGGGTGTCCTTTCCCAGGTCAAAGCATAAGCTTTGTGTTCTTGCTCCTTTGCTTATGGCCTAAACCTATTATTTGAGCCTCTGTACTTTTGTGATATTAATTCATGATGCTGACAGTTAATCTATTTTTATAACTGTTATTATCTGACCACAATAAAAAATAGGTTCTTCATTTTCTCTTTAAGTCTGAGACCATGTGACRGCAGGGGAGCAAAGTTAAAAGTACGATATTTTCAAGATCTTACATGGTTTAGCGATATTCTTAAAATTATTATCACAAGATGCCAGTGTGTTAGTTATTTTGCTAATATTTCAGTATGATTTGGTTTGGTTTGGATTTTGGTTTTGGAGGGTTTTTGGTTTTTTGTTTTTTTGTGGTTTTTTTTTTTTTTTTTTTTTTTACAAGACAGATTTTCACCCAAATACTTAAGAATTTTAAATCACAGAGCACTACCAGGGCTCTACCAGCCCCAGTGTGGCTCTAAAGTCCAAGGAAGTTCAATCAAAATTCTTAATGTTTACTAAAAGTATACGTTTTTTCCCATTGGCTCCTTTTTATTCCTGCCTGGTTCACTCAGATGTGCATTTTTTCATCCCGGCCTTCTCTGCTGAGACTGCAGTTGTTTAGGGAGGCTCATGATAAGTAGCTCTTTGTGTCCATCCTCTTGCTTTATTTTGAGATTTGCTTTGCACAACAGTACAAATGGGGACAGTTTCCCCCTTCTTGGATGTGATGTTTATTGAATTCATTTCCATTAACAAGCTGTTGGAAGCAAGTTAATGCCACATTAATTTACTCTTACGTCTGATTTTTCCTGACTATTCCAAGGGTTGCTTAGACAACAGATCATCTCCTAAATAGTATCTCATAAAATGTCTAAAGTTTCCTCCCCTCAAAAGTGGAATTTTGATTAATAATTAAAAGGAATAATATATATCCCACTAAAACATTAACAACAAAAGAAATAAAGAAGATGTTAGTATACAGAAATTACTGGCAGAGCTAATCTCTGCAGGGATTCTTGAGATAGTTACTTACAGGGACCAAGTAATATGTTACTATTCATCAGCTGTTTGTCCACTTTTCTTTTTCTTTGCAGTTTTCTAGGTGTCAGACAATCCTGGAACCAGGAACTTCAACTGACGTTTCATCCTCTCATTTCCCTGAAAATTTTAGTTGCACATTGAAGTTACTGGACGCGTGTTCTGTTCAAGGTATTTGCYTACACACTCCTCCTTAAGGGCCTTTGATCTACTGTGAACTGAAGGTTCACAGAGACTTTAGTTTGTTACTTTTCATAACTCCTTTTGGCCTGATTTTTTGAGGTTAATCAGATAAGTTATTTTGAGATGTACTTGATTTTCTAGCCTTGCCTTATGCAGGTGAGCCCTGCTTCTAAGCAGCTTCTATAGTAGCCAATGAATGCCTTATGTCACCAACTGAGTGCCACCTACTCAAACATCTCTGTGGGAGGGTTGTGATAAAGCCATATGGAATCTTTGCTGATACAGGACATTGGCAGGTGTAGCAGAAAACTTCAGGTTCTCTAATGACATTGGGGTTAGTGCCAGCATAAAATCAAAGTGGAAACGTCCTTAAACCAGAAGTACTGAAAGAGATTACTCACTKCCAGTTCTGGGGAGAAAATATGACCCCCTGTGAGAGCTGATCCTTTTAGTGTTGCCCAGGTACACAGTCCTGCRGTGTGTGCTCAGACATTATCTGTGAGTGAGACACAGGCTATTGCTTGCAGACTTCAGGGCCAAGAAAATCTGCTCATATGCCAATGTCTGCTGGCTGTAGTTCCAGGCTCTCTCAGTGTCACAGGAGCAAACTCTCTGTGGTTTCCTTCTGCAGACAGTTTGCYGCTGCCAGGAAGCACCCCCAGGAAGCAGTGACATTTCCAAACCATTCAAACAATTAGCAAAGGTGACAAATTCATAGATTTGTGGGGGTTTGAGGTAGGTGCTCCCCTTCAGGTTTAATGAYGTCATTCTACTCCACTTAAATGTTTCCATTTTCCTAATTTTTCCAAGAGAAAGAGCAAATCCAAAGTTTCAGTCTGAAAATCTAACATTTCTCATTGCAGAACAACACWTTTTTTTTTTAAATAATGCATTATAATTTTAATTTTCCTCAGTATATGCAAAACAATATGATTGCAGTATATAGGAAAATACCTATCTTAAAGAAGCTATTGTCTAGATAGATTTTCCTTAAAGAAATTATTGTCTAGGTAGATTTTCTTTGAGAGTAGTTGGTAGTTAAAAGCTGTCCTTATTGCACTGAGGAAGTAAAATCCACACTTGTTAGGCTCTTATTTCATCCTCTTTCCTACAGTCTCACCTTTTTGGCCCTGCTAACTTTCATGTCCATAATGAACTCCATTTAGCTTCCCTGCAGCAGGACCTTGTCTTTGTTAATCACTGACCCAGCGGCATGAAGCTGCATGGGAGAGCAGGTTATTTTTTTTTTTTTTCTGGATTTTCTCTACTTCCTTCAGCAGTTGTAACTTCTAAGAAACTGCAGAACAAACATGTATAAAAGATCAGGAAGACAGCCTGAAAAAATAATGTTTTAAAGATGCCTCATTGTACTCAGTTCTCCCGTAGCTGCCAGCTACAGACTGATGGCTGAAATCTTAGAAGGAGTTAATGAGATTAGATCTTTGGCAACTGATTGCTTAATGCTGTCTTCTCATTCAGTGGTGTCATGTTTGGGGTTTTTTTCTTTTTTCCTTTCTTCAGTAACCATATATAAACTTGTCATGGAGATCAGCTCAGACCTCATGGCAGAAATCTCATGTAAAACAACTGGAAATTACTTCACCTTGGCTCAAGCCACAGCGTAACAGATACCTTCTCCTTCTCCAGCCTTGCTATGAGTCAAAGGCATTTTCTGGGCTGTTACTTTCCTGAGCTGAATGACCTTGAGCCTCTTCCTGTTGCCCCRTCTTTGCTTGGCTCAGCATGTGCATCCCTTGCTCTTTGTAAATAYGCCTGCATGCTTGCCTTTGCCGTGTTCCTTTTTCTGCACAGCTGAAAGTATTGGTCCTTTGTCAGCCATTGAGGCTCCCATATATTAGTTCATAAATGCCCATAGCAATTTCCCATGATGTTGATAGTGAGGATTTTTTCACCTTATTAAAAGAATGTTGGTATGGTCAAATGCCTAGTACACGGCTACTAGTGTGTTTCTTTTCTGCCTGTGCTTGCAGAGCGAGGGAAAATTAGGTGAAAAAGTGGAGTAGTAGCATTTTATACTTGTTTTGCTGGGATGTAAATTTCCAGATTTGTGAAGCGGGGGAGAATCAGCCCACTGTGACTCACAGCACAAATACAGAGCAGTCGGAAGAGCCCAGCTTGGGTTGTGTGTATCCTTACTAACAGGGAAAGCTGAAATGCTAATTGACATTGCAATCTGCTTCAGGTCAGGTAAAGGTCATCAGACCCCTGGAAATGCGTAACCCTTCCCGTGGAAGCTTTGAGAGATTCCCAAGGAATCTCTGTATGTTATGTGGAGAATCTCTGCAGGAAGCAGAGCTGGCAGAGTGGTGGTGGAGAGGCGTGGGGATGGCAGAGTSGTGTCGGAGGGATGGTGGGACTGGGCAGAGTCATCCCCCTTTGTGCTTTTTTTCCATGTTAAGCACCTTATAAATGCTCCTGTGAAACAAAGCTGTCACTCTTTGCTACCAGTCATCTCCCAGATCTTCAGCCTCCTTGTAAAAGGCTGCATCAGCCATTCCCAGTGCTGAACCCTAGGACAGAGTCGAGCTCAAGCTGCAGGTGTGAGATGGGGCAGGCACAGCACTGRGCACTGTGCAGCTTCAGATGATGTGGTGAGCCCAGTCCATCCATTCAGCAAGGTAACCCAGCACATACATCAGCTAAAAACACACCTTGCTGAAATCTAGGGGTATCTGTGGGTGCACATACATGGGCAGGCTCAAGTGCTCTGCCAGGTCGAGGCCAGGATGTTCAGCACTGTGCAGCGTTAGCCCTTGCAGATGTCTCCAAACATAAAATGGAAAGAAAGTGACAGTCCCAGTTACATGGAACACAGCCTAGCTTTTAAAAGGCTACTTTTGATGATTARGTATTTTGTGTACTGTGGCAAGATGTGAATTACAAAACCTCTAATAATAATGTAGTTCAGTCAGGGTGGCCTTGAAATGAGACCCCAAGCAGAGAGGTTGCACTGTATAATGATAGCACAGTGCCATTTGTTTCAACACATTTAGCACTTCAGAATGGGATTTTTTTCTGTTAAACACCAGATGTTCTAGTGACCCGAGTGCTGACTTTAAAAGAATACACAATAGAATAGTGTGTCAAGGTCAATGGCACAAATTAATCTGTATTATCATGCTGTCATATTATACCGTATGGCCCATATGAGAAAGATCTATGGCTAGTGCCCTCCTTACATGTAACTGTATGAGGTGTTGCAGTACACAGATTTTGAGTTTCCCAAGCCCTCAAGCCCCCCTGAAACAAATCTGATTCTTGYTTTGATAGTTTAAATTGTAAATGTAACGTTCTTACAGTGGGTGAGGGCTGTGTGGGTATGTGACTGTAATCTCACAAAACCAGAGACACAGGCAGCAGCACAGTGAGAATTATGTCTGTTAATTGTAAATCTTCAAAATAATAATCTAGGTAGCTTGGTTGTCTGCATTTTTCCTTTGAATCAAAGATGTGATAAGGCACAAATGAATAATTGTTTACAAACATTTAAAATAATTTATCTGCAAGAGATCCTTTTGTCTCTGTGAGTACCCCATATCCCTTCTCTTCCCTGCCCTGTGACTCCTAAGCTATTGCTGCAAGATGGCAGGATGTCAATGCCCCCCAAATTGAACCTGTGATTTGTTTTTCTTTGATTTATGGGCTTGTAGTCAATAAACTTTATAAAGGAAAGTATCAGACTGAGCAATCAATCAAAGATAAGCAGATTCTTGTCCTTTAAAAGCATTTCACCCCAGTAAGCAAGGGCCTCATTCATCTTTTACAACCACTCTTGCAGCTTTCAGCTGAGAAAGGACTCRCTGCTGACTACATTCCCTTCTGCTGAAAACTCCCCTGTTCTGAGCTGAGATTTTTAAAATTCATTGCAGCAGTACATTTCCTTCCCACGTTATTTGCTATCTCTGAAAGGGCATATTGTTTGCATGTTGTTATTAAAGGTAAATCTCCTTGCTGTGTAGAGAAGAAAAGGCTTGTGTTTTAAAGTGTCAGAGCCATGGACTGTTGTTTTACAGAAACAGTGTTCATTTTCTTTGTTATTTTACAAAACAAAACATAAAAAAGGGTTCCCATTTGTTTTTTTAGTAGTATCTGAATTTCCTTTTGAGTAAGGCAAATGTTATCCTGCATGTTTTGCTTCTCTGAAGCACAGATGGTGTGCATATGCAGATTGGTGATTTTTTAATCAAAACAGTGACACTTGGGAATATATGTAAGTATTGTAATAATGCATTAGTCAGGAGTGATGTTGTAACACACTGAGATCATACACATAAATCTAAGACACCATGTCTAGACACCCCAGGGAAGATGGCATGCCATGGGTTAGAGCAAGCATTAAGGAAGTGCAATATTTCAAATATGATGGGAAAATAATGCAATTTGCAGACTTTAATAAAACCATTGGGGAATTAATTTCACTAAGGATACACTCTCTCCCAAAACATCTACGTTTCTACATTTGCTTCATAGATAATCAGAAGGTGAGACACTGTACCTGCTATCTCAGGCATGAGCACAGTACGATATCTATGAATTGTGTCTATGTTTAATATGCTGAATATGAAAATAATCCCTTTATAGTGCTTTAGTAGTACAAAACTGCATTATGCAAACAATGCACAGACARCATGAACCTTGGAGATTCAGAATTTGAAGAGCTTATAAATTAATCTCATAAGTGTTGRTTTGGGCATGCTCAGGGAGTGCGCTCAGCTGTAAAACTTGACYGACCTAACCCTCCCAGTTTTAATTATTAGCTTTTTGATTATCAAATATTAAATGAAGATGTGCAATTTATGACTTTTGCATGTGTCATTCTCCTTTCTCTGAAAAGGTTTTTTWAWTWTTTTTTTTTCAAAGAATCTTTGGCTGCTTTTTGTTATTTGTTGTCTTGTATAGCTCTTGGCATATAATTTTAATCAGCCAACCGCCTTTTAAATTTTTGCCAGCTGATAACTACTCACAAGCAACTTGCAGTACTATGCCAGGAATGTTGTGATAAAAATGTCAATTTAAACCTGGCCAAGGATGACAATCATAACTATTTCCAAGTGAGAAACTTGAACAGAATACATAACACAATAGCACTTTTTACTTTCTGCCAGTGCAATACGTGCRGGAGCTCAAGGGTTCCCGTAATGATAACCTTTGCAGTCAAAACCCCACTTAGAAGTTGGCTGCATTGGTAGCTGCATCAACCTCATCATCTCTTGTCATCTGAACGGCTGATAGTGGAAAATCTTCAATACAACTAAATGTTTTCAATTAAAATGTCATCAACTCGAATGCTGGCTGTTATAGAAGCTAGTAAATGAGGGAGCTCAGATTTTGCCAGTCGTGACAATGGCTTATATCCTGACACACTGAACTTTGTTTCAGAAAATTAAGTTCATATTAGCATGGAGTAAATCCAAATAATTCAGTGTTTGACCTCCCCTCATCTGTCTTTTCCTCCCTGGGCTATAATGAAACTGTTCCAGAATCATGTATTAGGACAATAATCCAGTGAAGATACTTTGATACGTTTTTTATACTTTTTTGATATCTTCTTTGATACTTTTTTGAAATCAAAACCTGGAATGTGATGGGTTGAGACATAAATGATACTTTGAAATTCTCAAGAGCTTTCTTGGAAGTAAGTTCACAGGTCTGGGAACTGCATGGAGTGGTAGCAGTGTTGTGAAGCCTCTCTGCACACAGCTCACCTCCTCCTTCAGAAAATTGTAAACCACCACTTATATTTAGCTCTTCCCATTTCAAAGTTAGATTTTATCTTCTTGGATGTTCAGGAAATGTGAATGGGCCTCYAGGCTTGTGCAGGGGTAGAAATACTTCTGCAAAATAATAATAAGGAGCAGCTTTCATGAGTCTCCATGGAGATTTCTTCCCACTGAGCATCTTCCAAGGTCTTTGCCATAGTCTGGGCAGAATATCTCTGGCTTTAGGAAAATCTTGTTGCCCTCTGCCTCTTGCCATCTAGCTGGTGCTACACAGCTATTATTAGGGTGTAATACATTGAACATATATTCATTTGTACAGTCCTCATTTGTCTTTCTCTTTCCTTCATATTTTCTTACTGTGGAACTTGATCTTAGTTGAATTTCTGCTGTGTTTCCACCAGCACTTCATCTGTGCATCCTTCATATGACAGTATTACCTCCTTCATTTTTCATAATACAGTATTATCCAATGTCTACCCACTTTCAACAGTATCACATAAAAATGCACTAATGTTTTTATTTCAAGATGGTTTTGCTAATATCWGTTCTTGTGAGTGAAATGTATTACAGTCAGGCTCAATAAATATAATCCTCACTGTTTACTGGAATAAAAACCAAATCCTGGATTCTTCTATTCTGTGGAAGCTACTGCAGTTTACATTTTAGCATTTTCTCCCTATTAGGTGGCTCTTTGCTCTATGTCTTRGTACATATGAAGAGGTCCCATGCAGCAGCTCTGGGTCACATACATTTTTGTTTCTAACTCCTGTCTGCCTCCCATGATCTCTGCTCTTCAGCAGCACACTTGCACTGCTCCTCCTCCTCGTGGAGATCCACAGCACAGAGAATGAGGTGAGGAAGGTGGGCTTACCTTCTCTCCTGGTTGCGTATCTGTGTGTGCTTTGGATCAAAACATCCTACASATCTAATTCTCTGGCTCTGGGGGTGTAAATGATGGCACTGTCGTTAGCCTGGGCTCAGCAGAGGGTTGGCCATGGGATGGGGTGTGCTGGGGGTGGGAGGCTCCTGGTGCCTCCCTGCTGAGCCCCTCGGCCCAAAGAGCCTTCACGGGACAGTCAGAGATGGTCCTTATCCCTGGGCACGGAGAGCAACTTGTCATCCTGCAGGAGTATCAGATGCTACACAGACCACTTTAACCTTGCTTAACCTTTCACTGTGCTCTACAGCTAATGAGATGAATGGGAGTTTTATTGGTGTTTCTTGACCTAGATATTTTACATGACAGTTCTGTGTACCTGAGCAGCCTAATGCCTTATGTTTTGTAAATCAATATAACTTTATCTATTTTAAAAAAGCTAGAAATATTTTTTTTCTTTTTTAGGCCGACCATCACATCCTACAAATAATATTGGTTTTGTTTAGCCTGAAAATGATTTGATTTTGAATTGGCTCACCTTGTTAGTCAAATACAGTTCTTGGGTAAGTCTGAGCATGATTCTCATGTATCACAATATTTTATCCCCATGGTGTATGCAAACCCAACGCCAACAAATTGTGAATGGGTTCYCCTGTGCATAAACCACATCTAAGTTTTCAATTTAGGGAAATTTTTCAGACTCTGGGGTTTAATGGACAAACACAAGAAAGCAGTTATAGCAGATTGCACTGCCTCATGTTACCTCAATGCAAATGTTATAGGGCAGTGGTGGTAATGTGTGACATTAGGCAAGCCTTACATAGTGTTATGTGAATTGCACTGGCTCAGCTAAGAAGGAAAACTTGATTTTATATTTACATCTTCAATATGCACTTTTCTTACTTATTATTTTACTTCTGTCCTTCTATCCTTGCCATTCCTCCACTGATTGAAGTACAAATACTCTCAGCACCATTTGCGATGCTCTGAAATGAAGATTTCAAGAAAAGAGAACCAAATACTGGTATTCAAGGTTGGGGTCATTGCTCCATCTGTTGTCAGCTGTGTTTGACACAACCAGTACTATACTGCATGTATGATTAGAAAGGACCAGTACAGGGATGTTTCTTGCAGGTGCTTCAGACACTTCTAAAGGCAYTTTTGAACATAACTCTGACATTTCCTTCCCATATGTTCAAGACTTTTGTACCRATATTTTCTCAGTTTCTATTCTGAAATAAAGTAAATTTCTGTTTACCTACATGTTTGGCRTAAGTAAAACAAATTTTCAAGACCGAGTCCAATGAGACAGTATTTTAAAATGCATTTCTCATTGTCCAAYTCTGTGATATATTCTCATACAAACCTTTGGATTGCATGGTAATTAGATACCCATTTAATCTGTTCACATATAAGACACAAAATCCTGATTCAATTGTCCTCCCCTAGCAAATGTTTGACACTTCAGGTACCAAATAGATTATACAAAAGTTGACTCTGAAAGTACAGAATGAATTCATATACAAATGCAGGTATGGTAGTGATTTTTAGGCTCATTTTTCATGTTCGCATTATATAAATACAACCAAGGAAGTGATTAGTATGTTTCTCTGTTGAACTTCTGAGACATTAGTTTGTGTATTATTACTTGCAACTAGCTTTTCAATTTTACTGTTACTTGCCTTTCTCAGTTATTAAGGACAAAATATCAGATTGATTTAAATTTATGTGGGAAAAAAATAGGAATTTCAAGAAGGTCAGTCTGTGAATTTTTACAGAAACATCAGAGAAGCTAAACAACTGTAACATTTAGTTCCAGAAATTAATATATAATACTGTTTTCCAAAAACATAGCATCATCTCATGGCTTTACAAATGGCTGTGTGAAAAGCACATAAGTCTATTTTGTATAAAAACCAAACAGAAAGTATTAATTTCTGTTTGCCAAGGGGATGCCCATACGAATTTGTGATAGGCGTCTAAATGCGGAGGTAAGTAATAAGCAGGTATTGACTTCTATTGAGATTGGTATCGAGATTTGTTGACCCAAAGAGGTTACAATTGACTGAAGAGTGGGGCAGTAAATCTTGTTATTGAACAAAAAGCTAAAGTCAATATATGTATTATTATAAACATTTTTCTTTTGGAAGAGATAATAAGGGCGGAGTGGTTTAAGACTTTAGATTTATATGGCCATGATAGCATACAGCTTCTTTTATTTAGACAAAGGAGAGAGAATGCCTGGGGGGAGGTTTTGGGTTGGGTTTTTTTTCTTTTTCTTGGTTTTTTTTTTCTTTTTTTTTTTTTAAATTGTTTTTAATATAGCTTCACCAATCATGCCAAAGCAGTAAAGCCTGCATCAACTTTCACATCATAAACCCTTATTCTCATTGTTTTATAACTCAGCTATAAAGGTTATTTTCAGATTGAAATTTGGCCTGCAAGCTCTTTGCCTAAGAATCATTTTTTTCCCCAGAAGGGTGAAAAGAATAAAGATGATCTATTGAACTATTTATTGAATTTTAGAGGAGCACAGAAAATACGTGTTGTGATTTTTATATAATTCAGGTTTTAGATTGTATTCCTTATTGAATATTATTTTCTGCATAAAGCTAGGATTTACTTGATCATAAAGGTGGGGGCTGAAAATGTTCTTTCAGTGCTTTCAAACAATTGCTAATATTAATCCATGCCTTGTAATGTAAACAAGTATGATTTTTATGGTTCTTATATTTTAGTCCACTCGCTCTGGTCAGTACGTTATATTTGAGGCTATTACTTGGAAAAATAAAGAGGAGACAGCACAGAGCAAAACAGAAATCCGTCCATCTGAAGACATTAAGCTTATTAATTAAAATCACATACATCCCATAGTGAGAGTGGCTGAAGAAATTGCTGTTCAACTGCTATTTTGTGACATTTATATCTGTTAGTATCTTGACTGCCAGTAGAAATGATCCTTTAGTAACTCAGAAATCCTCTAACAAAAATAATTTGTTGTTTTCCATTGCCAGAAACCATCTGCCTCCTTCCTTAGTTCACAAGACCCTCTTATGTTTCTCCAGGATTCAGGAACTTGTACTAATTTAGGAGACTCGCTGAATCTCTTTAGCAGCACAGGCTACGATAAATGCATCAGACATATTCTCTGCTCTTTGCACTGGCTTGCTGTGAATTTAAAAACAAACGCCAGCTTGCCCCCCCCTCTCTTGGAGCCATTTGGTGGCCTGGTCTCGGTGCAGAGAGGCTGCCCCAGGCTGGCAGTGGAGCCCTGGCTGTGCTGCAGTGCCCACGCTGTTTGGGGCAGGAGCAAAGCTTCCTTCTGCAGAGGGAGAGAGGAGAAACCATCCCCTCTGAACTGCGGGTCCCACCCTGCTCTGCTGCCTGGGAGGGGCTCTCTGCTGCTGACACTGAGTTCCCTTCTGTGCTCCCACACTGATGGCATCRCTTSCAGMATTCTGAGCTGGGAATTACTGTGCYGTGGCCGATGGCCTGGACCTTTACCCTCCTTGGAGAAGTTCTCCTCCTGTCTCTTTATAATCTCATGGAAATATCATCATGGAAATTATCCGCTCTTCTGTCAGACCTCAGTATGGTGAAAGAGACCTTGAGAAGTGTACCTCCCACAAGAGCAGTATTTCCAAATTCCCTGAAGGAAAAAAAGAGACTTAGTTTGAACTGAATGCCATTTCCTCTCTATTGATGCAGTTTCTGTTCTGGAAATGTATAGGAGGGAAGGATAATTGTCTCATCCTCAGTTTTGCCTCATTGAAAACATGCATGCAGATAAACACTCTAAAACTGTGTGACCCAAAGCCTTAGCTTTCCACAAGGCTGACTTTTGTCATTCAAGAAGCAAAGAGTGAAAACACAGAAAAAACATTCTGCAAACCTTAAACATACCATGGCTACATTTTCCTCTGTAATATGGAGTTATCATTGGTACTTGTGGTGCATCAGTAGGGCATCTGGTGGGGGATGCTGGTGTTTGCAGACAGTGCAGTGGCCTTCCTCCCAAACCTGAATGAGAAGCTCAGCTTGCATTCTTACCCAGTATGGACAAGCAGACTGGGATATATTTGCTTATTTCAGCACAGTGATATAAATTACTGTTTGAGTTTAGCCAGAGAAGGTTGCCATGAAGAAGTTTGGCTTAGAATATCTTGGGCTCCAACTGTAGTCGGCCAAATCTATGGACTCTTAGACTGAGGCTTTTAATTCACTACAAAATAATGTACTTCAGCTTTGTCTAGTACAGTAGATGAAGGAACAGCTTCTTTTCAAAAGCACGCATGTGCCTGGAAGCACTCTAGGTTTTCAGAAACCACAGCATCTGCTGTACTTTGCTCACCTTATTGCAGTTTCTGTCTGTAGATATTGAGGCATTTAAATTAGTTGCCATTTCCAAGCTATTATAAAGGGTATAGATGAAAATCTTCTGTAGCGACAAAGTGCCCACAGATTTATTCAAACCTACTGGAACTTCATTCATTTCTGTTCCCAAGACAGCTTCCAGCCTTCCCCTATGGATATGCATGCTGTTTAATGGCACATGAATTAGCATGGCTGCTGTTGGCACCAACGTGGTAATGGTGGCAGTTGCTGATAAAGCTCATTAGATGGAAATAAAGAATCTCAAGTAAGCTAATGGTGAAAAACATCTGAATTTAGTAGGAGCAAGTCTGTGAACATAAAATGAATCTGTAATATATTGAGCATCAGCATGGTCAGGCTTTGGCTTGTGGCTTCTTGTTGTGAGGAGATTTTTTTAAATTYTGAGTTTATGTAAATTTGTTTTAGAATATCACCTGCTTTTGTTGTGTGAGKGGTCTAAACAACTTTATGTCTGCTGGACTCTCTTTAAAATGTTCTTATAGCAAGTGAATTGTATGCTGGATTTGTGAACTACAAGGGAAAAYCTACTTACGATGACATCCTTTTCCTGAAACCTATGTTGGCCAGCCCTGCTGCTTTTGAATGAGGTACAGCTTTTTTAATATGTGCAATTTAACGACGCTATTGATGGATAATACAGAAATAAATATTCAACGGATAAATATAGGGGTGAATGTCCYATCTGAAAATGACAGCTTCTTTTCCACTTTGCAAATAATGCTTCTGCATTTATTTCCCCATTAGTACACCATTGCCTTCTTTGGTCATACTGAACTGTTTTTTATTTACAAAACAAGGTAAATGGTATCAGAGTAGTGCCATCACGCAGACCTCTAATGTGGTTTTTTTAAGAAATACACTAGGGTGATTTATWTGGTGTTCACAAATACAGATCATGATTGATTTTATCATAATTTGTTCTTTCTGATTTTCCACTGTTCAAAAATTACTGTGTTTAAGCTAGAGATGTGCTGTTCTCACCATTGTTTGCCAGAGTGGGATTAATAGTAGAATAATGTCGAGCCAGACAAACTTAAACTGGTAAAGTTACTTACTTTTTAAAAAAGAGATGGGATTAGTGGGTTATGTGGGTGAAAATCTTTCCAGTATCACAAGCCTTGTAAGCCCAAAGTACGTTTTTATTATAGTCAGTGGGGGATGTTCAAACAATGAGAAGTTGAAAAGCAAGAATATGATTCTAGCTGATTCTTGATCTTGCTGGGGGAGGCTGTGCTTTGATTCCTTTCAGGAAAGCACAGTGCACACCTGTGGTATTATATAAAACATTACATAATTATGAGAATAACACCCTGAATTTTCTCCCTCCAGCTCTGGTGCAGTCCACGTCTAATGAAGAAGCAAGTGTGTGGTGACTTTCATTCAGATGTGTCTTTGTGGCTTAGCTTGCAAGTATGTGAATTTATACATGTTGCCCTTGGCTTTTATTTTCTGGTATTGCTTTTGGTTATTTCAGGGAGAAAGCCTACTAATGTTCCCTTAAAATAAGTTTACTATTCAGGCCAGATTGTTGTCTTTTCTTTCCTGCCACGCTTGCAGCCTAATTGTATTTAATATCACAGTTCAGGGCTTTCCTCTCTCTGCCCTGTGTCACTCAGAGGTATTTAAAAGAGGATTTAAACYAGCTATTTTTTGTACTTAATCCTTGATCCCTTCTGCCCGCCCCCTGCCCAAGCTTGCTCATTCACTGGAAATAGCAACCTATGTCCACATTTTACGGCTCTAGTTTATAGTAATTTTGTCTTATGCCTTTGGAGTATAAATGATTTTTCAATCCAGACATTCAAAATGAAAGTGAAGTTGCCAGTGGAAACGGGTGACTCATTATACAATGAGTGAGTACAAATAAAAAGGTGCCTGAGTATAATAATCAGAAGATATTGACTTTTGTTGAGGTCAGGATCACAATTTATTAACCCAAGAGGTAAATATTGACTGAAACTTTGGGCAGCTTTTTTTTTTTCTCCTTTCTTTATAGCCCAGAGAAGACTGTGGAGGATTTACTAAATAACTCCATCTGCCTGCACAGTAAGATGGAGACTTTTGCATTTTGCCTGCAGTTTTATGCTCGTCTTTTGTTCTGGCTCTCCCAAGGGCAAAACGATTTATAGCATATTTTAGAGGAATATTTAAAATCATGCTAATTGCTGTTTCTTTGTCATTAATTCTGCTCTTGACAAGCCAGAATCTTTCTCCTGAAACAGGTTTTGCTTCTGAGCATTTTTTCAGATGAGCCCAGCCCCAGACAGGCTGTCTGCATTTTCTGTTCTGCCCTGGCCATTGCTCTCGGATGTCTCTGGGACCATTTTGTGTGTGTGTGTCTAAAAACACCGGGGTATTGAAGCAGCCATCAGAAAGATGCCCTTGGGAACGATGACTCCTTGTGCTGCTGACATTCTGTTCACTCTCTAGGAAGGGCTTTACAATCAAATTATTTGCCAGCTGTAGAGACCCATGTTTGGCGAAAATGAGCACCCTGGAACTGCTGCTGTGCTGTCTGACTTGGAAACTCAGGCTTTTCCAGTTTTCTCCATCTCTGACTGCTCCATGCTTCCAAGGGGCTGCAATGTCATCTACATACTCAGAAGCTGAGAAATGTGCCATTGACACAGGGTGATAAGTTCCTTAGCACAACTTCCCTGTACTCTTCTATGACAGTTTGTGTCAAAGGATTTGTTTTGGATTCCTGGGGCAGTTATGAGCCTTTGCAGAGCAGGGTGCTAACTTGCTTTAAATTCAGTCACTTTTTTTTTTTTTTTTTTTTTTTTTTTTTTTTTTTTTTTTTTTTTTTTTTTTTTTTTTTTTTTTTTTTTTTTTTTTTTTTTTTTTTTTTTTTTTTTTTNTTTGTGTGTGTGTGTGTGTGCATCCCTCTTGAGTTTTTTGTTGCTAGTAGTTTATGGGGTGTCTGACACTTGCAGTGGGTCTGGTCCCTGCCTCAGGAACCACATGGGTGCAGATCTCCCACAGGGCTGGCTGGGGACCAAGGGGAGTTGGCTGCCAGGTGCCACCCCACAGCCACTGCATCCCTGCTGCCACACGTGGGCAGCATTTGTAGCCCTTGACCTTGCTGTCTTCCAGTGTAAAAGAGATAGTATAGTGAGAATTAGCGTGACTTTCTACTCTTATGGGCTAATGTCTATATTTGCTTCTTTTCAGTCCTCCCCCTACTCCCTCTCTTTCTCCTTCCCCAGTCTTGTATTTTATTAAATAGTCTGCTGCTTCTTTTTTGGTGTTCTTGTTGCCCATTGTCTTGTAACTTTGCTCCTGTATCCTCCTCAGAGTAAGACTTTTTTATTGTTATTGTTTAGAGTCTGATTTGCATGAGTAATGCCTCAGGATAATCAGGCAGTATTGAATTTTCACACAATTTTAAATATTACAAAATAACTCCAGTGAGCTTTTAGCAGGAGAGGGCTGCTCTGTGAGCATTGGAAAACTGTTCTGAACCTGCTAATAAAATCCATCYGTGAAAAAGGGACTGCAAAGTATTAGTATCAAATTGTTGTATTTGAGAGGAGAGTCTTAAATCAAACTTTTTAATCCATGGATTTTTGTGGATCTGTGGACATCTGCATAGCAAACATAAACCTACTGAAACTAAACCTTTCYTCATTACCTCTGCAGAGCCTTCAGAATGGATCCACAGATTCCTGAACATTAGTGGATCTCAGACTGGAAGCCACAGCCAAAAATCAATTTGATGTTCTGGGAGGTCTGGGAGGATCCTCCCTGCTGAAGTTCAGCTTTGTTGAGCTAAGGAACCTGCCCCAAATGGTGACACAGGCTGATTTAARCAGTGCTTAAATCACTCAGGAGTGTCAGAGACCCCAGTGCTTCTGCTGCATCTTGGAGACTCCAAGTCTGTTCTGCACCCTTCTGTGTCTGCCTTGTGTCTGGTGTAATGCAGCCGGCGTGACCTGTGCACAGACTCCCATTACCTCCACACTGAGGCCCATAAAACACTTCTGGCCTCAGACCATAGTAAAAGGGCCAGAGGAAATGAGTTTAAAAGCCTGAGTACATCTCCCAATGGACGTAACAGTCCACATCACAAAATTTATATACATAATTTGAAATAATTGGCAACTTTAGGAAGCAAAGCAAAGAGCAAAATGGAGCTACTTTAGCTGATTATTTATGATCACCTTTTGTCTCAGATGTTTCTGTAAGGAAAACCTTGTGTATTTGGTAGTTCAAATTGCTAATGCCMGAGTTGAACTGTGCTGTTCTCTGCTCTAAATGAGAATCACACGTTSACTGTCTATTTAACAAGTGCGTTTGCTGTATTTTTAAATTTAAATGATTTGTCTCCCTTYATTTCCCAATGCTTAGGTGAAGACTGCCTCCCCAGACTCTGCTGCCTCTCTGTTGCCCTCTAAGTACTTCATATGAAAGGTCATAGGCTCACAATTCTGACTCCTTGCAAAGTTCAACTGGCTCTCTTTTGTAGGATAAAGCCATTCCCCGTCTCKGTAGCAAGGGAGGTCCCCTGGCAGCAAAACAAATGTGGTTCGTTATGTGTGGCATGAACCTCAGCTGCAGTGGGAGCTCACTCCGGAAAACATGTAATGGTAATGTATCGAGAAYTGCAAGGCGAACCCATCAGCCTCTCTCAAGAAATTTAACTCTGAAATGTTTTATTTTGCCTAGGGAAAGTCTATTTGGGTCTATCATCTGGTTTCCAGGAAGGTCCAGCACTCCCCCCTCCCCTGCTCCTTAGCAGGACGGATGGCATATAAAGAGGTCAAAGAGACTASCAGTGTCATGCCATAAATCAGTGGCTCAGCTTAGAGGAGAGCCCAAAAGGCTTCTGCTCATCTGGTGTAAACTGACTCATTCTGCTGCAGTCAACAGAGGATCTGACAGCTGCAGATTTGCCCCAAGAGCTTCAGAATTCCCACTTTAGATTTATCTAACTGGTATTTCAGACATTCTTTTTCTGTTGTCACTGGCAGAGATTTTATTAATATCCTCCTAATAAATATATTTCACCTACACCTTCATAGAGCATCCATACTTCCGTCCCTGCCCACAAATAAAATATCACGTATGTGTGATTTAAAAAATACCAATAGCCAATTTAGTTTAATTTAAATTTAGATTTCGCCCTAAACAAATACTGATGTGCCCTGTATATTTTTRCTGCCAGATCATGATTTACTAACTCCGTTTTGGGGGTTAAAGAGAGCATGACCTTGCCCCATATTAATATTTAAAGATTACTGTGCACATGAAATCAGATGCTGACACAAGTCTCAAAGGACTAAAGGGTTTTTAATCTTTTGAAGAAGCAGTGCCACACTGAAATATGTATTACTACATTCAAAACAGAGCATGTAACAAATGTCCCACTAGCAGGCATCAGAGACTGCAGATTTCATTCAGTGTAATATGGTCCACAAATATCAACTTTTTTTTTTCCAGAAGGGAAATTGCAATGCCACAAAGGCTGATGCTTGACACCATAGCAAAGGCCAGGAGCAGCATCTCAGACACTGCAGAAAAGGAGTTTGCCATCCAGTTCTTAATGCAGGAGTTATTTAGTGCCCTTTTCAAGGCAGTACATAGATTTTACTCTTTTAAAAAGGTGAAAGTTTATGTACATTTCTGTACAAATGCAATTTAGAACAGTTTAGGAACCATGTGATTCTTTGTTTTTACAACAGCACAAGCCTATAATATGAAAACCTCCTGTTTTTTTTTTAATACAGTAGAAAAAAAAGCCAGAGCTGTTTTACTAGAAAACAGAAACAGCTGATATTCAACATAAATGAATAATTTTATACCTTTTTTACAGCACAGTTATTTTCTTTTAAAAAATTCAAACTTAACCTATTAGCATTTTTAACTCCTGTCTTTCCACTACACCTAAGCTTCAGACAACAGTATGAGCTAGCAGGCTGTAAGTTTCATTGCATTTTGGGTGTACTCAGTATGTATGAAAATGCTGCAGATGAGATCTGTGATTACAATAGTTCCTGTGTTTTGATAGCATCATGGAGGTGTTAGAGGATTTGCAAATCATGACTGAGTGGCTCTATCGATTCTCCTTTTGGGTGGGTGACAGAGGTGACAGCCTGCCATTCCTGGTTTCTTGTGTCATATTTCTGACAGGTCATTGCAGACTGGTGCCTCCAGGAGCTTGCTGTGGTGCTGCCAGAAAGCACTGGTATAGTTTGGAGATAGTTCAACCAAATGTTGGATTGGTGTAAGGGATTTGGGTATTAGAGGTTTCCAGCCCTGAGGAATTTGGAGCCTGTGCAGGTGCATGTTCATTTCCAAACCATCACCAGAGGGTCACTGCTATGTTTACTGATAGGTTTGTGTCCAGTGGCAGTAGTCATTGCAAGGAGAAGGAACTAGACCTCTGGTTTGGAAGTTAGGGA